CAAGATTTGGAAAATGTTAAGGTATTTTCTTCATAATGCTGATGTGTTCTTAATTGAGGCAGTGGGTAAGAGAAAGACAGATTCACACAGAGAATTGTTCCTGGCCACACTGATCAGGTAGTTTGCCACCTGTTTTTATGGTCTGAAAAAAAAAATGGAAATACCTTTGTGATTAATTGGATGAGGAAAGGAGAATGTAGCTTAATAGAGTCAGAGGCAAATATTTGCCGGTCACAAACATGGCCATAATAGCCCCTGCCCTAACTACCCCAGTGGTTGTCGTGAGGATTGGATGATTTAATAAATGAAAATGAGACAAGATTCTGAATGCTTTAAAATGTATAAAAAGCTTCCATCTCTTTCCATCATGGGGAGAAATTTCCTGCAAACCTTTGGGCAAAAGTAGTCACTTTGAAGAACATAGATGAGGGAGAGAGACAGAAAAAGAGTGAGATAGGGGAGGGAGAGACAGATTGAGAGATAATCTGGGAGAAAGGCTTAATGTAAGTTGCATTTTGCAAGTCCTAAATTAGGAATAATTTCTATTACACATTAATTTCTCTTCAGCCCTGGGCACCTAGAAGAATTCTAGTATGTCACTCCCTTTTGTTTCAGTGGGATGCTTGTAAATTCATTTTACCTTATTACGGATAATATGCATGCCAGGAGGGAATTGATTTTCTAACTGTGGTTGGTCTTCCATTCAAAATTGTGATGCCTTTCTGGTTTTATGGGCCATGAAAGTCCTCAGCCACCTCCTGCTTTTCTCAGCCTCACTTTCACTCCTGGTCCATATTCTCTTGTGGATATCAAAAAGTATAGTTCTATTTGCCATGAGTTTACCTTCTCTTAGGTCTTTAAGGAAGCACATATATATTTCCTAAGCTTTTACTGCATAAACCCTGCCTCCCTGTTTTCCATATATGTAACTAGCATTTATTGAGTATTTATGATGTCCCAGGCAGCATGCTAAAAATTTACAAAATTATCTCTTCACATTGGTACAGCTCAGGGCAATAGTTATCATGAGCCTTAACACATGGAAGAAAATGATGGGAGAGTTTAAATAAGAGCTAGTAAGTGGCAGATAGTGGATTCTAATGCAGGTCTGTCTTCACCTCCTGAATCCCCATGCCACATTGCCTCCTCTTATAATGAACTCCCTTCCTTTCAGAGTTCCAAACACTAATTTCCCACCCTATATTTTTTTTCCTAATTTTTGTAATTCATGGTTACTGAAACTTGAAATCTCATAATTTCCTAAAATAATTACCAAAATAAATTTGTGCATAAATTCATCTTCAGCCATACAAGAGTAATTGGTGGCAAAACTTTTCTGTGTAGCTGAAAACCCATATAACCCTCCATTAATTCTCATTATAATTAATGTAAAAATGCACTGTTACTATTAGTGGATGTAATTACATACTGTAGATAACTGTAAACTCTATCATTATACTAATGAGATGTAAAACATTCCTGAAGAACCAAGGAACTTTGTAGCAGCTGAAACATCAGGTTACAGCATTTCACCAGTTACTGGAGATTGAAGTGATATTTGTAATATATTTGAGAACAAGTTTTGCACAACATCCAGATGATTTTTAATTAAACAGAGCATTGAAACAGGGGCAGAAGGGGGTACGCCATGTGGAGATTTACCTCAAAATGCACAGGAAAAAAAAATAGCATATGGGGGAATCCAAGGTCAAATGCCTCAGGACGTGCTATCAACAGATTTCTTCCTTAAATAAGCTGACACTATTTTTTTTTAATGATTTTAAACCATGAGTAGCTGCAACAGCATCTACCTCTTGCTGGAGTACATAAATGCTTCTGTTTAGGAAGAACACCTCTGATCTCCCTTCTTTTTGCTTTCCTCTGACTTCCTCCTTGAGACCTCACCTGTCACACCCACACTGGGGTCTGGATGCAAATGCCACTTTGTCAGGGCTCTCTGAGTGCTCTAAACTCTCCCCTCATTCCTCTAACTCGAAAACCTGCTGGGTTTTTTTTTTTCCCTTTAAGTCATTTCATTTATTTGTTTATTTTTGTTTCTTTATTGTGTATGTATTGAAGGAAAAATAATTTTACCTCTACCGTTCTATGTTCTTGGCTGAGACACTCCCCACCCCTTCTGCCCCTACCCCCATAAAAAAAAAAAAAATTAACAGGAGAAAAGCAAACCAAAGTTTAATAACATGTATATCTCCTGTATACATGAGAGAGACCCAGGAAAACTGAGTAACTCCATGAAATGCCCCAAGCCCCCACCTTAAATACCATCTCTAGCTAAAGACGAAAGATGATTTTTTTTTTTTTTTTGTGGGGTAGGTGGGGAAGGCAGGGTGGAAGGTAGTTATGGGAGGTTACCAGGAAAAGCACAGTAAACAAGGGTATGGTGGTTAAGTAGGTTTACATTCTTCTGCATTGTTTCAGAGAGTTAGTCTTTTCCTCTTCCTGGTACAGAGAGGGGGACAGCCTTACAGAGGGAGATTTTCTTTATAAATGTAAATGTCCTGTACAAAAGGGTAACTTCTGCTCAGTTTTGAAGATCTCCATGTGTCTGTTGTTTCTCAAAAATAATCAACCTAAAATCATTCTTATGCCAATGAAGCATATTTTGAAGTGGCAAATTTGCTTTCCTTCATATGTCTCTTGCAAATGAATGAAAGCTCTTTGAGGGCAGTGACCATGTTGACCTTGTTAAAGTCCACATGTCCAGATCTAGCACAGGGGCTATAAACAGAGTAAGATTTTAACAAATTATTTTTATTTTTTGAATGAACGAATGCATAGGCCATTAGTTGTTCAGTTTTATTACAAATGAGAAAATGGGCCACTCCTATCAAAAACCAATTCCTTATAGCTTCTCTAGATTATAGCCTCAACCTTTCTTGATTCCACTGGCTTATCTCTAATAACCTAGGATCCAGTGTCTTCAATGTTTAAATAAACAAGTATATAATTTGATATATTCCTAAAATCAGTTCTCTGAAGAAATATTCCCCTGAAGGTAAGCCAAAAATTGTTTGGATCTGTTGTGATACTATGATATATAAGAAATAGATATTTGGTCTTTGTCTCTGTTCCTGACACTCAGCTCCTAAAACTCCTGTAATTTCTTAAATGGTAAAAATGACTTTTATTATTTTAATAAGCCTTTTTCAACTATCCCAGAGTTCATGTTAATGATGTAATTTTTGGAAAGCCCTAAGAGTGGAGGCTGGTTTCCAGGGCAACTAACCATGTGATTAGAAGGAGGAGAGAGGCTGGATGTTGAACCAATCATCAATGGCCAGCAATTAAACCAATCAAATTTAGGTAATGAAGCCTTTGTAAAAGTCCCTAAAGCACAGGGGCACTTGGGTGGCTGCCAGTGAAGCATCTGACTCTTGGCTTTGGCTCAGGTTATGATCTCAAGGTCATGATCTCAGGGTCATGAGCTCAAGCCTGTGTCAGGCTCCGCACTCAGGAAGTCTGCCTGAGATTCTCTTCTTCTTCCTCTGCCCCGGGTCCTGCATGCACATGTGCTCTCTCTCCCTAAAATAAATAAATCTTAAAGAAATCCCTAAAGTAGAGGAGTTTAGGATCGCCAGAGAACTCTCGGGGTTTGCTGAACCTGTGGAGGTTCTGGGAGTGTGGTTCACCTGGAGAGGGTGTGGATGCCCTGCACCCTAGCCCCAATACCTTGCCCTGTCCATCTCTTCTATCTAGCTGTTCATTTCTATCCTTTGAAATATCCTTTCCCATAAGTCAGCAATAGTGAGTCAAGGGTTTCACTGAGTTTTGTGTGCTGTTCTAACAAGTAATCAAACTGGTGGAAGGGGTTGTAAGAACTTCCAACTTAAGGCTAGTTGGTGAGAAGCATAGGTCACAAGCTGGACTTGCCATTAACATCTGAAGCACAGGCAGTCTTGTGGGCCTGAGCACTTAATCTGTGGGTCTCATGCTCTCTCTGGTGGATAGTATCAGAACTGAGTTGGGTTGTACAGTGTCTACTTGAGACCTGAAGGGTTGCTTAGTGTGGGGAATCACCCACACATTTGGAGTACAGAAGCATTCAGTAGGAGAGAAAAAAGTTTTTCCTTTATATCTACTGTCTATATTTCCTAAACTTGAATTCTTTCTTCCATCCACTTCGTTTGGTTCATTCCACTTCATTCAATTCACTCTACTGCCCTGTGTACTTCCTAGAGTTACCAAGGGGAAATTAAATGGACATTTTTAGTCTGCATCCACCTAGATCCCTCAGCTCCTTTAATCAAGCAGATGACTCTTGAAATCTCTCTTGTCTTCCAGGAAAGCCCCTGGAGGGGCTTGGGCTTTCTTTTGTAGCCCTGCATTCACTCCCAGTTTTTTCATCTTTTCTTCTACACTGTTAGTATAGTTCGGGGCCTTCTTTAGGTACTGTTCATCACTATGCAATCTCACTACTAAGTAGCACTTATATGCTGATGGTGTCTAGAATTACATCTCCAGGAGAAAACTTGTTTGTATGCTCCGAACTTGTTTTTCCATCCATCTGCTCAGTATCAGCACTTACATTCATCCTTCCATTAAGATGTGGCTTCTCAATCGACTAACAATAAAAATAGGCACCACATGTCCTGTAAGATCCTAGATGATTTGCCGCCTGCCTATCTCTCCAGCTGCACCTCTTGTTAAATTCCCCTTGTCCCACTACAGGCTAGTTACCCTCTTCTTGCCTTTCTTCAGATTACTCAAACGCTTTCCCAATTTGGGAGCTTTCTACCCGGGACTCTGCCTTATGCATCCTTATTTCTCTGTTGACCTGGTTAACTTCTTCTTGCCCTTGAAGGTGAGCTGAAATGCCATTTTACTTGTTTGAGGACTTTCCCAATAACCTGATGAAGTAGGGCTCTCTTATTATTTTCTTTCATAGATCCTTAAAATGTTTCTTCAGAGTACGTCAGAACTCTCTCTTTCTTAGAGTGTCTCCTCATGATTTAGAAAGATATTTCTTCTCCAGGAGATGGATTGCAAAAAGGCATCTACTCTATGTGAACAAGCAATAGTCCTTCCTCCGAGTTGGCACAGCTGGACACCATGACCATGGCGGGGCTATGCAGTCAGGTAAGATTTCCGCCTCCCCTTGTGCCCCTTTGCCTGGGCACTTTGTGCATGATACTGTGCAGCTGTACGCTGCCAACCAGAAAACACAGTTCTGTCAGAATTAGACAGGAACCATATCACTGTCATTAGCTAGTGTATACTTAGGACTTGGTATAGCCTCTAGCAAAAGAGAGCACCCAATAAACATCAGCTGAATAAGCAACTATATAATAGGTAGAATTTGTTTTTTGGTTTTTTTTTTCTTTTTTTGCATGGTACACAGGTTTACAGAAGTTTTCAGTACCACGTGGTTAGAGAATTCTTTCACTTTCATATATATCTGCTATATCCCCTTCCATGAAAGATAACTTAATAGACTGTATCTCCTAGTATCTTGGGCCAAGCATATGTCTTTTTTCCTGTCGGTATGTTCAGGAAACATTTTCACCTCCCTGTAGTTGAGGATAGCATAGGTTCACAATTTCTGGAAAGCATGATGCCATGGTTATTACCTACCTCATAAGAAACTGAAACTTTTTTTTTTTTTTAAAGATTTTATTTGTTTGACAGATAGAGACACAGTGAGAGAGGGAACACAAGCAGGAGGAGTGGGAGAGGCAGAAGCAGGCTTCCTGCGGAGCAGGGAGCCCGATGTGGGGCTCGATCCCAGGACCCTGGGATCATGACCTGAGCCGAAGGCAG